TTTTTCAACATCCTCAAAAACTTGGTGGGAAGCCCTGATTTTAAGGATATATATTTCTGAGAATTTGCCCAGTAACCAGCATCCAGAGTCCTCAGTCTTCCACAGGCTGAATCTGGCCCTTCTTTTTGGGCTTGGGGGAAATGTTTGGATTTTTAAAGTTTCTTTAAATGTGTTTGCACATTATGTGTCTGAACCCAATTCATGAAATATAATTAGAGACAAAGTGGGCATCCCAATAGCATGAAGAAGAAAATGCTGGGGCAACAGTGGTGGTTAGCCCTCCCCATAACATTAACAATCATTGTCATCAGCATCATAAAAGCAGCTTGTATTTAGTGAGTCCTTACTAAGTGCAAGGAAATGGCAACCTTGCCTGGAGAACCCCATGGACAGAGGAGCCTGGTAGGCTACAGTCCATGGGGTCTCAAAGAGTCGGACACGACTGAATGATTTCACTACGAAGTGCAAAACGAGCTCTCAGTCCCTTACATGGGTTATGTCACTAATCCTTTAAAAACCCTCTAAGGCAAATACATGTATTACTTTCAACTGAAGATAGTCTCTGAAAGATTAAGTTACTTCCCCAAGGTCACTCAGGTAGTAGTGGTAAAGTTGAGATTCAAGCACACTCTTAGTCACTATACTGCACTCATTCTCACTGGCTTCCCCTTTCACCCTGGGGTAATGACACGGACCCTTTTGGGCCTGACATGCCAGCTTCTTGAAGGACAGTCCAGGTCAGCTCAGCCTATACCAGGTGGGAAATCCTACAGACAACTAAGCTTCCTGATAAATCCCCTCTACTCTAGTTCCTTAAAACATAAAACCTTCATGTGTGTGCATGCTAAGTTGCTTCAGTCATGTCCAACTCTTTGCAACCCCACCAGGCTCTTCTTTCAATGGGATTCTTCAGGCATGAATACTGGAGTGGGTTGTCATGCCCTCCTCCAAGGGATCTTCCTGACCCAGGGATCAAACCCACGTCTCTTATGTCTCCTGCATTGGCAGGTGGGTTCTTTACCACTAGTGCCACCTGGGGAACCCCAAACCCACATTGTACTTGAGAAATGGGACCTTAAACACCCTCTCCTCCTCCATTTCCCAACTTTCACCTGCTTCCCCACAGGATCTGGTTGTTTACAAACCTCTCATGCTGTTTATTTACCTCTTAATAAGCCCTAGCTCCTCTCAGAAAGCCATTTAGCACTACACCACTTAATTTCTCCCCGAGGCAGAATCTGCCAGATGGAGTCTTTGTCCCCAGCCATGTTGATTTGTCTTATTTTTAAACAGCAGTGAACATGCCACGAAACTAAAATAGCAATCAGTTCCCAGGTGTGGACTCACTGAGCATGTGGGAAATGATCAGGAGCATGTGGACGTGTCCACCCGGGGCATCTATTCCAAATGGGCTGGATTAACCAGGGAATGACTCCTGCAGGTGGCTCCCAGCCAGCTGCTGCCCGCATCTGGGCGTCCCTCAGTGCAGAAGCACACCACTTTTCTGCCTCAGTGGGATTCAGCCACTCAGCACCTCCTGGGGCTGGGTCCCAGGGCTGTGCACCCTTGCCTCTCCCACAGTTATGTTTCTAACAGTTGAGGAGACAGAGTGGGCCCCCAGGGGATCAGAAAATCAGCACAGAATAACCCAGTGCAAGAAGGAAATGTCTCCAAAGTCACTTTTTCTCATCCCCAAATTCCTATAAAATCTAACTCCATTTCTATAATGTTACTTTGTTTGGGTCAATCAATATAAATGTAATTCAAATTCTATACCAGCTAAATTACTAAATTATGTCCCCCCAAAAAAAAATTTTAAACACCCTCCCCCAAATCTGTTGCTTCCATAGCTTCTGTGCTCTGGGACACACAACAGGATATATGCCTGCAGGTGTATCAGCCTCTGTTTGAGCAGCATGACCTGGAGGTGGGCAATCTCTGGGGGAGGGTAAGCCCACAACAGGGACTAAGAGTGTTCTTCAGCACTGCATGTCATCTTAAGGAAGAGAAGATTACGTCTAAAGGAAAGACAGGTGATTGTTACCAGGACAGCGGTACTGGACAGGACTTCCCTGGGATCCAAGGAATGATGGAATGAAGTTAGAGACCAGCCTGATGTATAGCTTTTTGTGTGGTTCCATTGATCTTGCAATACCTATCATCACCATGGGAATTGACAACACTCTAGCCTAACTCACAGAAGTGACTCCTCATAATTATCCATATAGATATAGATATTTATGTTTCATAATTCATCTGCATAACCTCCATTTTCCATTCTCTTAATAACTCACAACTCATAATAACTAATGCATGCATGCTCAGTTGTGTCCGACTCTCTGCGACCCTATGGACTGTAGCTCTCCAGGCTCCTCTGTCTATGGGGTTTTCCAGGCAAGAACACTGGAGTGGGTTTCCATTTCCTCCTCCAATAATAAATAGTGGAGTCCTTTATTAGAAGGAAGAAGAATGAGATTCAGTATTGACGAGTGGAGGTGTTTTGGCCTGCCTTTGGTATGTCTATGTATATGGCACTCCCAACTAGCTTTTGCAAACCTCCTGAACCATCATTCTCTGAAAGTATCGGCAGTTAGAATATTACTCAGAGTCAGCAGTGTTCTCATGAAATCCTGTGTCAAGTACCAAGCAGAGTGCTGAGGTCACCTTTAGGAGTGGGCCATTCCCAAAGGACAGAAGTCAAAGGCGGGAAGTGGAGAAGAATATAGACAAGTTGAATGGCAATCCTTTGTTCTTTGGAGCAATTTTGCTGTACTATTCAAGAATCTTTTTTTTTTTTTAAAGTGCCCTCTCACAAAGGGGGAAAAAAAGAAAAAACAATAGAGAAAGCCTCCCTCCTTCACCATGTAAGATCCTTTTCCCATGGAGAGTATCTGCCATTCCAATTTCTTTAAGTAACCTTATATTTGGACATTTAACAGGTGTTCCCAAGGATCCTCTAAAGAAAAAAAGTTTTCCTGAATCAGCATATAAGTGTTTCTCTGAAATGACAGTGAGAAACGAATCTGGGAAAACTATCTGTATTCTTCATGGCAAAAAAATTTTAAAAAAATCAGAGAGAAGCAGGAGAGCATAAAACAAGCTGAGGGAATGAAAAGGGCTTAGAAACCTACTTTTTCCACTAAAAGAATGATTAAAGAATGATTGAAATGCTGCAGATACACTGCCCTCAAAATGCTCAGAAGTGGTCTCCATTGGGACGATATTGCCCACCGATTAGTTTAACCAGTGGCTGCTGCACTGTGGACACTTCTGAAGAATTCTGTGGGTCTTGAGAATTGTAAGACTGCTCCCTAATTGCAATACCTGATTATTTTATAGACTGTGATCAGATCTTCTCTTGGATGGCCTTCCAAGGCTTCCAAAGGATATACACCTATTTCAGGAAAGGGGGGGGTGTCCTTCACATGGATCTTTTATGACAAGGAAAATGCAGTCTCAGGAGGGCTTGCTCAGGGTTTTCTAGAGGGCCCCAAAGAAAGGAGAAAGCTCAAACCTTCATCTTCAGTCTGAGGAGAAAAGTGACAATCCAGTCACGTGTCTCTGTCTGCAGAAGAGTGGTCTGGTCATGCTCAGGGCAGCTCAGATTCCCACAAAAACAGAAGCAACAGCATGCCCAGAGGGGCTCAGCATCCATGGAGAAAAACAACAAAGGAGAGCTGCCTTTCCAGGCCTGGCTGGGCTCAGAGGTGTTCACCTGCAAGCCAGCTGGGCCTAATTCAAAAGGCCACATCTGGAGTATAGGTTTGGTCCCAAATCTCACATTTATAAAGATTTCCAAGCAGTCTTAAAAGAGCCCTCACTTCTGGACAAACCTGGAAACTATGCCACCCATAATAATTGAGAGCACTTAGAAAGTTAAATTTGACTTGGCAAGTCCAAAAGACTTCAGAACATGCCTGATGAATACTTCAAAATGTTTCTTAAATGGTAGAAGATGGAATAAATCAGATTGCCTGGGAGAACAGAATGAGTTCAATATTTGGTTAATCAGAAGGAAGAATCTGTAAAATGAGGGCTCTTGGAGATGAAATGCATTGCCTTGGGGAATAGCCAGTCTTTGCTGGGGGTATAATAGCTGACGCTGCCATTTCACTGGAGAAGAAAGAGGGGAATGTCTTCGAGGAGGTAGGATACCTGTGCAGCAGTGAAAACTGGGTTTAGGGTCAAGGTGGACCCAGACTCAGGGTCCAGCTCTGTTTTTGTAAAACTTTGGGAAATTTCTTCTAAACCCTCCATTCCCTCTTTGTGAAATGGGTATAATACTATCTTCCTCAGTAGGTTATTATGCAAGCAAATGAAGTATTACTTTATACCAGTGCTTGGCATGGTAGAAATGCTAGATTCACAGTTGTTGCTACCCCCCTCATTATGTAAGCTCTGATAAACTGGATGGGAAAACAAGTGCATCATTTTCTCAGACTTCTTTAGCCCTCTGACTCTGATCAGTGTGGGGCCCATCCTGTAAATGTTCCTGGTGCTGTCTCCCTAATTCCCTGTTTCCTATTTTAGCACCCTTCAGATCTTCCTAGACAATGGGTGTACTCTCCACCTACAACCAAAAGCAATATGTCCTATTCTCCAGTCTTTTATGACCCTGCTTTCTTAAGTGATAACTGGGTATTCTAGGAAGTGAAGTTTATAAAGAATATGTTGTTAATATGAATATATGGTCACCTTCTTTAAATTTTTTCTCCTGCCAGGATGCAAGGGCTGAGCACAGCAACCAGTCCAAAGCCAGCAGTCAATCAAAACTCCACATGGTCATCAGGAGAGATCTTTACTAGTAGGATACTATAGATCATGCTTAGCTTTCCTAGAGATGATGCTAGTGGTCATTTGGGGCACGTAGAATATAGAGCAGTCTTGTGACAGGTTGATTGGGGGATATTAGGAACGGGGAGGGGGACTTTTTCCATTCACTCATTTATGTTCTGAGAACCTTAACATACACTCTGACCGCTGTCTTTCTCCCACCCCAGGAAAGAGCAGAGCTATGTGCAGAAGTGCTGGAAGGATGTGCGTGTGGGGGATTTCATCCAGATGCAGTGCAACGAGATCATCCCAGCCGACGTACTCCTCCTCTTCTCCTCAGACCCCAGTGGGGTCTGCCATCTGGAAACTGCCAACTTGGATGGAGAGACCAACCTCAAACAGAGGCGGGTTGTGAAGGGCTTCTCACAGCAGGTAGGCCTCTTTCTAAGATAAGATCTTTAACTGGGGGGTCAGGGGAAGATGTCAGCCAACTCTACTTGGTAACTGCACTCAATCTGGTGGGTAGAGGAGAAGGTAGTAGATGCCTCCTTTCCCAAGCATGTTGTTGTTGTTTTTGTTCAGTTACTAATTCATGCCCAATTCTTTCTGACCCCATGGTCTATAGCATGCCAGGGTCCACACCAGGGTTCGTATCTCCCAGAGTTTGCTCAGATTCATGTCCATTGAGTTGGTGATGCCATCCCACTATCTCATCCTCTCTCAGCCCCTTCTCCTCCTGCCCTCAATCTTTCCCAGCTTCAAGATCTTTTCCAATGAGTCAGCACTTCGCGTCAGGTGGCCAAAGTATTGGAGCTTTAGCGTCAGTCCTTACAATGAATATGCAGGGTTGATTTCCTTTTAGGATTGACTGGTTTAATCTCCTTGCTGTCCACAGGACTCTCAAGACTCTTTTTCTGCACCATGGTTCGACAGCATCAACTCTTTGGCACTCAGCCTTCTTTATGGTCCAACTCTGACATCTGTACATGACTACTGGAAAAGCCATAGCTTTGACTATATTGACTTTTGTTGGCAAAGTGATGTCTCTGTTTTTTAGTACTCTGTCAAGGTTTGTTATAGCTTTTCTTCCAAGGAGCAAGTGTCTTTTAATTTCAAGGCTGCAGTCACACAATCTTTCCAGCAACTCTCTGAGATAAATATCATCCCCTTCTCACAGATGGGGAAACTGAGGCTTGGGAAAGTAAATAACTTGCTGAAACCCTCAGAGTCCTTAAAAGGGGACCTGTGTGTTTAGTTGAAGAAACTGCTCTTTGCTGGTCTAGTATCTGCTCAGTTACTTTTGAGACCAGCCCACTTTTCCATGCTTATCTGATCCCTACTCATCCTGCCCAGATCAGCTCCAGTAATTCCTCCCTCTGTGAATTTTTTCTAGTACTCCTTTGACACCAACATAAAAGCAGCAAGGTATCGTGAATTGTTTTTCCATTTTGTATGTCTTACCTTCATGACAGTACTGAAATCTCTTTAAGAACAGAGAATGATCATCAACATTTTCATTTAATCCCTGCTTATGTGTATGATACCTTGGACATCATGGAGAAGTCATGATTGTTTTGCAGTTAAGAACCCAGGCTCTAGAGTCTGGCAGAGATTAACTCAAAGCCCAACCCTACCATTTATTAACTGTCTTACCGTTTATTCCCTCATCTGGAAAATGGGCACAAAAATAATACCCTCTCTATAGCATGCTTCTGAGGACTGAATTGTTACTGAACCAAACTTGATTCTGCTTGCCCATGTGCTATACAGTCAATCTACTAATGCTGGGTCATAGTGAAGGAAAACACAGCATTTATTCTAAGGCTTCATACAAGTAGTCCAGGACAGCTAGTGCTCAGAAGGCCCAAATTCCCTGATGGGTTTCTGGATAGCATTTTTTTTTAAGTTAATTTTTATTGGTGTATGGTTGCTTTACAATGTTGTGTTAGATTCTATTGTACCACAAAGTGAGTCAGTTATACACATACATATATCTCCTCTTTTTTGGATTTCCTTTTCATTTAGGTCACAATAGACCACTGAGTAAAGTTCCCTGTGCTATACAATAGGTTCTGATTAGTTATCTATTTTATACATAGTATCAGTAGTGTGTTTGTCAATCCCAGTCCCCCAATTCATGCCCTCCACCCCTTCCCCCCTTGGTTTCCATACGTTTGCTCTCTGCGCCTGTGTCTCTATCTCTGCTTTGCAAATAAGATCATCTATACCATTTTTTCTAGATACCACATAGATGTGTGTATACACGGTATTTGTTTTTCTCTTACTTCACTCTGTATGACAGTCTCTCGGTGCATCCACATCTCTGCAAATGACCCAGTTTTGTTCCTCTTTATGGCTGAGTAATATTCCGTTGTATATATGTAACACATTTCCTTTATCCATTCCGCTGTTGACAGACATTTAGGTTCCTTCCATGTCCTGGCTATTGTAAATAGTGCTGCAGCGAACACTGGGGTGCATGTGTCTTTTTGAATTATAGTTTTCTCTGGGTATGTCCCCAGTAATAGGATTGCTGGGTCAGGTGATAGTTCTATTTTTAGTTTTTTAAGGAACAGAATGGCATTTTTAAAGCCTAAGTCAGGGAAGGGGGACAGGGTATGTGATCAGCTCATGCACAATTCTCTGATTGGCTGATGGTAAGGTAACAGGGCAGTGTCACAAGGGTTATCAATCCACAGTCGCCTGGGCTATGTGCTGTAGACCTCGGGGCTATGTCCTCATGGTCGTTAAGCAATTCACGTCTTCCATTTGGTGGGGGCTTTCATGTCCACAACTCAGGAAATGTACATCAGAAACTATTATCTAGGTACTTCAGAAAGGAACTAAAGCAGAGGATATGGGGTAAGGGTTGGCCCCAGTATGGCCCCATAAAGTCCTGCGCAGTTATAAAATGATAGGTACATGAATTACTTAGCATGAAGCTAGGCATGTAGTAAGAGACCAGTAAATAGTTGGCAGTAAATATAAGTGGCATTCATAGGCAATATGTGTTGACTGATTGAGTGTGAAAAATTCCAATTTTCAGCTACATTCTGGGAGCAGAGCAGTAAAACTTGTATGCATTTATAAATCTCCTTTTTCAGGCTGCCCACCCCAACAGTCTCCCCACAAATCTGAGTCCTTTCACTCTCTTGGGTAGTTATCGGATGTCGCTGTTTCACCCAGTTACTTCTTTTGTTTGTTGTTGGCCCCAAGCAGCAGCTACAAGCTGTTTCTTATGTTTTAATTAGTCTGATGGTTTGGGATTTGACCAGAATGAAGAGGTGGATGAAAGGGTCATCCACTGCTATAAACCAGCCAATTCAATTTAATCACATCTCTCAAACTCTAACCCTGACTTCTCTTAGGGTACTTGATGTAATGATTTACAAAAAAATAAAATTCATTTGTGAAGGGCATAGTTTGTTTGATCTTGAAAGTTTTCAGAATTCTCTAGTAACTGATTCTCCCTCTCACTTTGCTTAAGGGTGCTTTTCCATTTCTATAAGAACAGTGATAATAGCACTAATAATAATGCATTCTTAAATCAATCTTTATGGGAGTATAGCTGCTTTACAGTGTTGTGTTAGTAGCTCCCGTAGGGCAAAGTGAGTCAGCTGCATGTATACACATATGCCCTCGCTCTTGGAGTTTCTTCTACTCAAGTCAGCCCAGTGCATGAAGTAGACTTCCCTGTGCTATACAGTCGGTTCTCATTAGTCATCTATTTTATACATTGTTAATTCCACGCCCCCTTCCCCCTTGGTATTTATGCATTTGTTCTCTATGTCTGTGTCTATATTTCTGCTTTCTAATGCACCCTTTTAAAACCTTTTACACAAATGAGGCACAGAGAAGTGAAGTAACTTGTCCAAGGTCATCAAGCTGGGAAGTATTGGAACCACAATCCAAAACCAGCCTTGTCCAGTCTCAGCTCTTAAAATGTGTAGTAGCTCGTTTCCCTGGTCCTTTGACTCTCACTCAGCTTTTACTCAGAATTTCTTACTTGAAAGCACACGTATCATTTTTCAATATTTCTTTCCACTTTTAAGTAACAAGTGGCAGGAGGGATAAAAGCAGACCTAGCCAGCTCCCAGGGGAGTAGGAATTTTAGCTGCTCTTTGCTGTCTTGCTTCTCCCTGTCTTTAATGCAAAAATATTTCTGAATATGGATAGAATTCTCTTCTAACTCTATGTATAATATGTCTCAAATGTGTTGAACAAAGATGTCCATGAGAGTTGCAAGAAAAAAATACATATTGCCCTGTCAAGTAAGATCAGATGACAGTAGGTTCCAACTTTTCAAATAGTGTGTATTGCAGACCTTCTCAGATACTTTAATAACCCCTAAGGAGGAGGGGTCGGGGAATGTTCTAATATGTAACATTTCTAATTATTTAACCACAGAAACCTTTTATTACAAGGACCATATACCAGGACTACTGCAGGAGAGGTGGGATCACAGCTTAGAAATTTGCCTTAAATGCTCTGAAGGTGTTTCAGATGTATCATAAGCATCACAGGGAGGAACATTTTCACATGTACATATATCCTTCCCCTTTATCATCACCAAATTATAATTCACGAGGTCTGGGCATGCATATTTTTTAAATGTTCTCCTAAATGATAATATGAACCTACAACCACTTCCTTAAAAATCTATGTAAGAAAAGGAAGGTGCTACTTCTTAAAAAATCATTGTAATAATGAAAATAAAGCCATCACCTATAGACATCTTACACGTGCTAGCATTTTTATACCCATTTTCTTTTGTCCTCATGACCTTCCTGTGTGGTAGCCATTTCTACTCCATCTGATGATGAAAACCTGGGGGTACAGAAAAGGCAAATGTCATCACTTATCTCAGAGAAGACTTTGAACCTGCAAATGTGGTTTGTTTGGAAATTTAAGTAATTAAAGTCTTCTGTTAGCTTATTATTCCTGTTGGCTATGAGACTTTTATCTTTTCAAAAGGGAGTGTTTACTAATTGCAAAGATTTCTAGAAACTCCCAACTCTACGTCATATACCTACACCCATTTTCACCACTGAGTTCGGTTAATTCAAAGTCAGTAAGACAAACTTTGTCTCAGCTCCCCTAGATCAGCATTTCTCAAGGTGGAGTCTGCCAAACCCTTATCTCAAGAGATAGTTCTTAAACAACAAGGTCCATGGTCAAATCTGACTGGGCGGCATGTGTCCTGTCAACCCCTCTTAGAGGTTCCATTGTCCAAAACATGTTAAGATCTCAGAGAAGACCTGGAGGGAGGAGGTCAATTAATCTTTATTTAACTCTGAGCTTTCCAAACTGATTTAACCTCAGAAACATTTGGGGCACAATAATTTTTCTTCTTCCTATGGAAGCTTGAGGAAAATATTAATTTACATTGTGGGGAACCACATGATCACGTCAGCTGAAGAGTGACACAGAGG